CAGTTTCTCCACAACCTCGCCAGCATTTGTTGCTTGCTGTTCTGTTAAATTTTGCTATTTTGACTGGGGTGAAATGATATCTCATAGTTGTTTTAACTAACTACTGTTAATAAATGTTATAAATGAATTTTACAATGGCAATCGACCCGGTATCATCGATTGCTTTTCCCTTCACCCAGAATCAGAGAAAGGGAGGAAAGACCCTCAACGAGATGGACTTACACGGTGACTCGATCATGAAAGATGGTGGGGATTGTTCAGGAAAGGACAGTGTTCAGATCGGAGATGCAGAGGGTCCTGTGAGTCACGGTCAATTTGACAGCACCCAACAACAACAACATTAACCATTTATGAATTTTTCACTCCCTTATTGTCCCTGGCAACCACCCAGGAACCCGTGTGGAAAATTTCCCCCTCCTTTGTCTTCTAAAATCAGTCTTTTAAAACTCAGTTTTAAAAATACTCAGTAAAGGTTGACATAAAGAAATGATATTAAGTATATAAAACAGTGCTCGCTTCGGCAGCACATACACTAAAATTGGAACCATACAGAGAAGATTAGCATGGCCCCTGCGCAAGGATGACAAGCAAATTCGTGAAGCGTTCCATATTTTTAAATTAAAAAAAAGTATATAAAACAGAGTTGAGTTCAGGTCTTTTGTTCGTAGGGTTGCTATGAGTCGTATTCGACTTGATGACACTTAACCACTGCCAAGTGAGACTGTTGTTTATTTTGGAAGAACATTCTTCTACTTTGTACATCACTCTCTGTCAACTTGCTGTACTGAGTGAGGTAATCTGGGTTTGCTGGGATGCTGAACCTTGTGCCATTGGGATGTCAAATACCATAACTGTTTCCCAATGTGGACAGTGTTTGGTGGAGCTCTCAGTTGTAAAACAGGTTTGGAAGCAGAAGTGGCATCCACTTCCTAAACCACATGTCTCTGGAAACTCTATGAACCTGGAGAAATGAACATAGTTATAGAAAGGCAGGTGGTCTTTTGTTCATAGAGTGGAAATGAGTCGTGCGTGACTCAACGACAATCAACAACACACAGAGAGGTTTACAGACTGCACTGGGGGGAGCTCTGGTGGCCTAGTGGCAAGAAGCTGCACTGCAATCCCAGAGATATGCAGCTCGAATCCACCAGATGCTCTGCTGGAGAAGGAGGGGCAATCTCCTCCTGTACCCGTCAGATCCGATTTGATGGAACACACACACACAAAATAATCAGATAAAATTTTTTTTAAAAATTGTCTCTGGGGGAGCTCTGGTGGCCTAGTGGTAAGGAGCTGCAACTACAATCCCAGAGGCGCACGGTTCGAATCCACCAGATGCTCTGCCGGGGAAGGAGGGACAATCTCCTCCTGTACCAGTCAGATCTGATTTGACAGTACACTCACACAAAAACAATAAAATTTAAAAAAATTGTCTCTGATACAAACTGCATTGGTTTTGGTTTATAACCAAGACGGTTTCTTACTTGTTACTGAATAACACAATTCATTAATTACAATGTCTAAACCACCTCTCTTTAGCTTTTTGCAACAATGTTCTTACACGAGAATTTACAGACTGTCTCG